GATCTCCCCAAAACCCCAAAACCCCATGATTTAAATATGCTTGATATAAGAAAGTATTTATAAGATATTATAATCATTAATTTAATTTGATTAAAGATAATTCAGAGTATATCTTTCAATTAGAATGGAACAAGCTTAGCACTCATTTCCACATAGAGTTGATGATAATACTGCTGTGTGGGCTGAGTTTAAAGATTTGACTGAGAGATATAGCTGTATATCTCTTGGAGAAGGTGCTCCAGCAGCAAATCCCCCTTAATTTTTGGTAGATGAACTAATGAAAGCTATCCAGGAAGGTCACAATCAGTATTCAAGAACATTTGGACATCCAATTCTGGTATAGTCAGTTGCAGAATACTACGGAAAGAAATTAGGACAAGAAATCAATCCTTTAACCTAAGTAATTGTCAGTGCAGGAGCATATAATGTAATTGTAAATGCCTTACTTGCTTTAATCAGACCTAATGAGGGAGAGGAGGTATTAGTATTCGAGCCAGGATGGCCTTGCTATATAGACCTCGTTTAGTTTGCTGGAGGGATTTACAGACCCTTGTGCTTACAGCAAAAAGATGGGAAATGGCACTTTGATGCTGAACAATTTAAAAACTCTCTCAATAATAATACAAAGCTGTTCATTTTCAATAATGCTTAAAATCCTACAGGAAAAATCTTTACCAGAGAGGAGCTTGATGAAATGTCAAAGATATTAGAGAACTACCCTAACGTAATAGTCTTGAGTGATGACGTATATGAGTTTCTAACCTATGACGGCACCTAATTTACTGGGTTTGCTTCTATAGGAGATAATTTTAAGAAGACTCTATCGATATACTGCCCAGGAAAAATGATGTGTGCTACAGGATGGCAGGTTGGTTGGGCTGTTGGACCTGAGAAATTAATCAAACCTGTATCTTTAATATCAACTACATAAATTTACTGTGCAAATACTCCTGTTCAGGTAGCTTACGGAAGAGCCCTCCCTTAGGTTGATAAGCCTGGATATAAAGGAGAGTTGTCATTCGTTGAGCACATTAGGCAAGAATTTTAAGAAGTAAGGGACTATATGTTTAAAGAACTAAGTGAAGGATTTGATCTTCCAGTTGAGCCTTTGAGAAGTGAAAGTGGATACTTTATCTTGCTAGATATATCTAAATGCAAAGAACTCATCCCTGAAAGATATTTGAAGTCTCATTAATTTGAGGAATTAAAAGAGGGTCAAGATCCCCTAAAAGTAAATGAAGTATTCATGTCTGATGGATCTGTACCCTTAGACTTGGCCTTCTGTAGATGGATCGCTGTTGAGAGAGGAGTGATTATGATGCCTTGCTCTTTGTTTTATCACAAGGAGTCGCCTTATAGACTAGACTAACATGTCAGATTAGTTATTTGTAAAGGTCTAGATCATAGTATTAAAGCTATTGAGAGACTAAAATCTAAAAGACAATGAGTATAGAATATGATTTCATGATTAATCAAAAAAAGAGGATTCCTAATATTTGTGAAATTTTCAATTGAGGGGTTTTGGGGTTTTGGGGAGATCGGAAGAGCGTCG